CTGACCTTGGCTGGGCACCGTGGGTGCTCCTCTAGCACTGATCATACCAAATTCATGTCATGCAGGACAGCTGCTTTCCCAGAACGTGCAGTACCTCCTAGGATATATTTTTTGACCCATACCAGATGGCCATGATCCAGAACACGACCTGAGTAAAGAGGCCTGAGCCCCTATCATACACCCTTGTGTCTTCCTTTCATTGATGTACATCCCCAAGGCTTCTCCTCATCAAAGGCTTTAGAACAGAACCACACCATGAACACCCATTCCTCGTGCATTTGGCTTCAAAGGATGCCAGAGCATCACCTCAGTAATCCCAAAGACAGCCTGATGAGGAGTTTATTGGACTCATAAAGAGAAGAGGAACTGCAGCTACTCCCCAAGCTGCTGTGCAAGCTGGGGGAGCAGAGCCCTCCCTCAGCTGTTCCAGGTGAGCAGGCAGGTCCCTCCCAGGCAGGTTTGCAAAGCTGGACTGTGCCAGGAGAACAGCATGGGGAGGATGAAGTGAGAGCACCAAATCCTTGTGATGCTCCCTCTGAGCCCCACTGCAGGTTTGCAGTCAGGCAGAGCCAGATTACACTCTCAAGAGCCTGGTGGTCATACCAATGCCTACTGGAGCCAGAGCAACAACTTTGTTTGGGTCAGGATTCCCACACCCCTCAAAGAGAAAGCTGTTCCCAAGAAAAACATGACGCTGAGGAGGTCTTGGAGCACCTCTTGGCCAGGTGGTGTGTCCAGATGTGAGCCAGAGTCCTGACAGAGGCAGCAGCCAGGCTGGGTGAGTGCCTAGCTGGGAGCAAGCCCATCTCTGAAGAGAGCACCAGGGCAGCAAGGAGTCAGCTCAGCCCCCAGGCAGAGCCCACAGTTGGGCTTGAGGGTCACAGGGGTGACAGATGCAAAGGGGGATGCAGGCAGAGCATCACTCAGGGCTGGATTAGCAAGGTCAGTGAAGGTCAGAGCAGAGGGGCCCAGGATCCCCAGGGCATACCAAGGTTAAGCATTTCCCTGCTGCACAGCCAGCCCTTCCAGTTATCACAGGGTTTTTGGATTTGGGGAAAAGCCCTAAACCCTCTGAAGTACGTTCACCTTACAAAATCCAGGGCAGGGGATTCCCACAAACTTCAGAGCCAGACTTCACACCAATAGTTTTTAAAAAGCCAGCCTTTCAGCCAGCAGAGAGTCTTCTGTGTTTTAAAAAGCAAAGTGTAATTCAAATGAAGGCTGCGGGGCAATCCCCTTTCTTTAACACACACTCCTCCAAACCCATAGCTTTACATAGCCAAATAAGCCTGGAGGCAAGGCGAGGCAAGCCAGGCTTATTTTATTTTTTTTTTCCTTCAAGGAGAAAAGGACAGTGAAGGCACCTGATACCTCCTATAATTAGAGACAGTTCTTTATCCCTAATGCCACTGCCAGACCACCTATATCCAATTTGGAAACCAGAAGTATAACCTAGCTTCATTAAATAATCCATCTGGTCCTCCCCTGTTAATTTCCCTACTATTTTTCCACTTTAATGAGCCCAGCTGGGTCAAACTGTGACCAGTTACTCCTGAGCAGGGATCAGCCATCCCTCCATTCTACCCCCAAGGAATCTGGTGTACTGAGGGGTCCAAAAACTCTCCAAGTATCAGTTTTCCCAAACAGCCTCCTTCCAACCATGGGTATACTTAGCAACAGCAGTCATTTCAGCAAAGACCCTTGAGACTCCTCTAAGGATGTGGAGAATTCAAGACAGCTGGGGATGGACGTGGCAAGGAAAAGCCTGGGGCTTGCTGGCACAGCAGAGCCTCTCCCCAGGCAGTGACCATACATGGGCTGCCTGCCCTGCAGCTCAAGGGGAGGGAAGCCCCAGGAGGATAGAGACAGGGGAATTTGGGAAAAGCCAATCTGCCTCCCAGGTGCAGATGTCCTGCAGAGCACAGCCCAAGGGATGTGCTGGGCCGTGGGTGTAGGAGCTAAGGGCAGGAGTTACCTGAAGCCTCCAGGGCTTTACAGAGAGCTCTGAGTAACAGACCCGGTGCATACTGAGCTCCCAACCTCTCCCCATCAAGGCAGGACAGCCCAAGCAGCCATCTCTCCAGAGCTCCCACCAGCTTCTCTCTTATTTGGGAAGGCTCACACCACAGCAGTTTCCCATATAGCAATTCCAGTTCATGGAAGAGAGCATAACACCGGCCTGGTTCAAGCAGACTTACAGCAGCATCAGCAGGCCTTTGCCAGCATGTCCCAATTTGTATGCGGAAACAGAATAGGCTGTGTTCAAATTAATATTTCTAGGACCTTTTCTAATGCATGCTCCTATATACACTGGGCACAGTCAAATAGACAAGGTTCTCTGTCTACAGAAACACAGCACCAATATTTTTCTCCTGACATCTCCCACTATGCATTACACCCAGGAGCCTTGGGATTTACTTTCCTGGCAGCTCCATCACAGGATTGGTTGCTCTGACATCCATCATGTTTTAGGCTGTCCTTAGAGCCTTGTCCTGCCTCCATCCATACATGGGTCAGCTTGAAAAGAGCTTTTTCATCAAGGAGAGGAGACAAGGGAGATAAGCTAGCCACAGGGTGAGAAAAGGTAGACCCAAACAGTAAATAAACACTTCCTTCCTCCATTTTGGGAGTGGAAATCACCAGAGTCTAGCAAGACAGTGCTAGCGTTTAAACAGTACAAGGAAAAGCAAGAGAAGTTTAGAGCTGCACATGAAACTATTATACAAATTGTAAGGGAAAGTAATTCTTCATATATCTGAAACAAAGAGGAACTCGTTTCTGCTCACTATTTTTGCCATCAATTTTCATACTTCATTAAGATTCTAAAACACAGCTAGAGAGGAAAGGATGTGCCACCCTGCTGTCAGTGTTCACACTCTTTTTAAACAAGGCTGTAAGGGTCTGCGTGCTACAGAACAGACTCCTCCAGACAGCCTTTTATTTAGCTGAAACTCCAGCAGGAAACAGAAAAGGGAACAAGCTGACCCAGCCCCCCCAGCAGACCCCATGGTGGCCCTGCATGCACCAAAGTACCTGCACTCACTGCAGCAAGAGGGGAGCAGGAAGGTTTGCTTGCCTCGGGCCCAGCCCAGCACCTGCTCCTGCTGCTGCCAGGTGAGCTGAGCCCGCAGCACCGGCACAGCCAGGCAGGAACAACGCTGGGAATCACATCGATCCCGCTGCTGAGGGGATCCCTGTGCTCCCCCAGCAGCCAAGGCTTCCCCTTTGTTTCAGCAGCAAGTCGTGTACAGTGCCTTGCAGCACCTTTTGAAGCTTCCAGTCAAATCTTCAGCCGTGGCTAATTGCTGTCAGGTGTCAGCCGAAGCACTTACTGCAACCGCTGATGACAGGAGATGACACACCTTTCTCCTCTCATTGTCACTCAAGGGTTTTTTTTTCCTATCAACATTAGCTGTGCCAGCTCTCAGAAGCCTCGGGGAGAAATGCTAATGTGAGCTTTGAAGCTGGAGGTGAAAAATCAGGCAACCTCCCAAGCTCCCTGGATGCTCAGCCTGAATCCCGTCCAAATCTGAGCACTTTGGGTGATGCACTTTGGCCAAGCTTATCTCTCTGCCTCCACCACAGACAGATGTGGACTCTGCTACTGATCTGTCTTCTTTTAGCCCTCATGGAAAGCTGTCTGTATTCAAGTGAAGAGACCCCAAATTTTACAGTGTCTGCTGATAAAGCAATAAAGCAGAGCAGAGGCACAGGGAGATATATAATTTTACAGCAGCCAGCCTGAAACATTGCCAGGTTAATTCGGCTGGAGACATAGGGGATGCAGCAAGAAATCAGATGTGCCCAGCAAGGAGAGAAGGCAGCTGGTCTCCACATTAGAGAGGTCTTAGAGATGGGGCTGATTTCAGCTGCAGAGCAGTTCCAGGTCACCAGATCTCTCACTTGAGCTTTGCTGCTGGAGCTGGGGTTCCCACTCAATCAACCCCTTCCCAAGGGTTTGAAGTTCAAAGGGGATGAGACCTTTAGGAAATCTAAGTTTCATCCTAGCTGGAGGAGCTTGTCAAAAGCCTGATGGAACATCTGACCTATTCCAGCCTCATGGGTCATCATTGTTCTGGCTGCACATCCTCCTTTCCCTCCGTGCCACCCCAGCTTCCCAGCTTCCCAGCATCCTGGGACTGGAAGGCAGCTGTGGTGTCCCCAAGCCTCACCTCTCGTTCTCCTCAGGGGATTCATCTCCCACTTGGCTCACTCCTTCTGCACCCTCCTGGCATCCCTCCGAGTCTGACATCTTCTCCCCTGGTTGGCACAGCAGCCCCACAGACAGCTCCAGCACCAGGGTGCTGCCACTGTTTCACTTTTCCTGTGCTCAGCAGAAGTGAGCTGTGCCGGAAACTTCATGGGCTGAGGGTTTGGGGGGATGGGAGAAGGCAGAAGGAAGGTGAATTTGGGTGTTTGTTTTGTTCTCTTTTAAAAACCGTTGAGGCTGATTTAAGATTTTACTTGTTGGCAGCTAAAAATTTGGAAGTCCTGGGCTAACCCAAAAGAAAAGTGGGCAGCATGGACATCCCCACCATGGCAGGGAAAGGACTGACCCACTGCCCCCCCCAGCTCCCCGTGCCATTCTGGTGACAGCCATCATCTCCAAATCACAGCACTCTACACTGTACCAGTCCCAGGGTGCTGCTGCAGGTGCTGCCAAGATTCTCCTGACTTCACACCTCTCAAATGCCACTGGAGCCAAAGGGTCTGCTTCTGCCCTGCAGATGCCACCCCTCTCCCCATTTCTCAGCTCTTCCCCACAGCTTCCTGCTGATATAATCATGGGCTGAGGTTCTACAACACCTCTTGGAGCTTGGATTGTTGTCTCTTTGTCTCTTCACCACTGGGGAAGGGTGTGAGCACCTGCAGCTTTGGACAGGGACCAACAGCAGAGAGGTCCCCCATCTCCTCAGCACAGCCCCTGCCACAGTGAGGCAGTCCCTGCTGGCACCATGGCACGAGTCGGGGTCTGGCCACCCAGGCAGGCAACACCCACCTCTCCCACCAAAGCTTTATTTACATCACTGCTGCCATGATGCAGCTCTTCACAAAACTAGAGAGAAATGGCACCCAGTCAGCGCCCCTGGGCCCGGCGGGGCAGCGGGGACAGCGGGGAGAGGAGGACAGCTGTGGAGACACAGGTGCTTAGGACTCGCCAGCCTCAAACATCTTCTTTCTGCCCTCCATGCCGGACTTCTCCTCAATGTTCTTCCTCCAGTCACCGACATCACGCAGATCCTTCTCCTGGGGGAGGGATGGTTGTGTTGGTGTGAATGGTGCCATGGTAAGAACCCACTCGGCCTGGGCCCCACATAAGTCCACCCATGGAAACCCCCATGTCAGCTAGAGGGACCCAGTTCCACCCATGCTATACATCTTTTTGAACTGCACCCTCCTGTTTCAACATCATGGGTGCCAGAGAAGGAAATACCGAGCAGGAAGAAGAACATTATGGAGAAAGAGTCATTCTGAACCCTGTCTATCTTACAGGGAGGTGTGAGCCCTGAAGGGAAAAAAGGAAGAGGGAAGGATACCTTCTCAGTGTCCTCCTTCTTCACTTGCTTCAGGTTGGCTCGGAGGTCCATGCAGACCTTGTGCTTGGAGCCCAGCAGGGCCCGCAGCATCGCGTCAGCCGACATGCGCACCCTGCGCAGCGGCGGCCGCTTGAACTTGCCACGCAGGTCAAAGAGTTTCTGGCTCAAGTCTTCCAGCTTCCAGGGGGAATGAAATGATGTGGGGTGGAGAGAGAGGGGCATGGGTTTAATGAGATGGACCCAAGCAGTGCAGGGAGGCATGAGGAATGGGTTTCAGACTCCCCTGAAGGATGGCTCCAGAGGAAACTCACCTCCTTTGTAGTCTTCTGTAGCTTCACCTCTGTGTCATACCTCTCCTCATCCACTGACTCTATCTTGGCATGAAGCTTTTTGCACAGCTCCTGGGAAGAAAGTAAAGAGGGGTGTTGACTGCTAGGACCCACACATGATTCCTCTCTCCTGACCACTCTGGCTCTGAAAGCCCTCAGTCCAGAAGGCTAGATGGGATTGAGGTGAAGAGGAGCTTGTCAGCCAGCTCCTAATCTCCATGCTACTGGCTGCACACAAATGCTGCCTCAACACACCATTTAAAACACATCTTTCCTGCCAGCCAGACCACTTTTGTTTTCAGAGAGACCCCACCTGCCTCTCAAGCCAGCTGCATGTTCATCTGGCTGCAGGGTAACACAGGGTGAGGAGAGGGTCAAGATGGGAATGCCAGTCTAGATCCACCACGCTGACTGATGGAGTCAATATTTTCTGCTCCAGCACTGAAAGTGTTAAAGTAGCCTGTACCTGAAGTTCCTGCATGGATCCTGGGAGTGACAGAGGAGGGCAATGTTCTGCCAGGTAGTTTTGCTTCTCCACTTCTTTAGCAGCTGCTTCCTTTTCTATTTCAGTGACAGCAAGCTGGAGCATAGCACTCTGGAAGGCAGCAGGAGAAGCGTCAGTGCAGGGTAGAAGCAAGGAAGGAGGGTAGGGGGTTCACTGGGGAGTGGGAGTCCTGCTGGTGAGGGGAGTTCCCATAAATACCAGCATTTCCAAGCAAGGGATAAGATAGAGACCCAGTAAGGAGTGGGGTGGGAGGCTCCTATGCTGTGCATTATGGCCTCTTCTAGTAGGGAGAGTGCTGAGAGCTGGCTGGCTTGGGATGGGAGGTGGAAAGGTCAGGACACACATCCCACAGCCACAGCAGTGCCACGTACCTTCAGGTGCTGCCGACGGGCAGTGGCTGCCCTCCTCTTTTTCTGCAAGTGGAAGAAAAGACAAGAGAAAAGAAGGTTATCAGGTGCCCGTTCCCCTTTCCATTGCTCTTCCCCATGCAATGCCACAGTCCACCAAGGACCTGCAGCCCTGCCAGGGAGATGGCTCCATCCTGACACACAGTTTGTCCCCAAACCAGCAGCACTCAAGGAAGAGGCTCCCTGCTGAACCCAGCTTTGCCAGCCTCAGGTAGCCAAAACCTACAAAGTCCCAGAGGAGAAGATAACAAGGGTGATGAACTTGAAAAAATATGTATAAAATATGGCTTAAAACTTGGCTTCTTGGGACTTTTAGCCTTTTCTCTAATTTCCCCTTCACTCAGATGTGTTTTCTTTGTGCTCAGGCTAATGACCCCCATGTTCCTGGGCACTCAGGAGCTGTGGGATGTCTTTCTGAGCAGTCCAGGGCACGTGTCCTTCTGACACTCTGGTGACAAGGACAGCCAGGCAGGTGAAAACATGAAGGCTGTGTAATTTCTTGGAGCTGGGAAGACCCAGCACAAGTGATGCTGGAGCAGAGGTTCATCACAGCTGGAGGACAGACCTGACCACAGGCTGCCCTTCTGTCCTTGCCAAGCTGGACCAGCAGCCACAGGACTCCAATTTATAAAAAACCCACAACTTCTGCATTTCAGCTGTTTCCTGAACATTTCACTCAGAAGACAGGGCATGGCTGAGTTGGGCTCCCCAAGGGGAAGCACATCTGATATGCTGAGGGGCGGGGAGTAGAAAGCAGCACTTGGGTGTGGGTCTGTGCTGCAGAGAGGAGGAAGTGGATAGGGATGTGCAGAGTGAAACGTAACAAAACCTGACATGTCTCACGTAAGTAAATGGTGCCAAGGCCCTCCTGACAGGGCTGGAGGGCTCTGCAAGTAAAAGGCACCCAGCTCAGAGATGCAGCACACTATTAACCATCAGTCAATCAGATCCCTTGAGGTCTGTTAGTCCAGGGCTTATTCTCCATCTGAAAACTGGTACCTCAGCAAAGAGTGTCCTCCTAGCCTTTTCTGGGAGGTCTGGGTTTGATGGGGAGTAAAAGAACATGTTGGTTATCGGCACCATTTTGTGGCATTTCTATGTCCCTGACATCCTCTTTTCTCTCAGTGAGAACAAGCTGGAGCTCGTGGTGTTGCAGACATATGGGGAGATGCCAAGCAGAAATGAAGGATGGAGCAATTTGCTAAGAGGAAATGTGGAGTGACAAAGCCACAAACAATCCTCCCACACCTTCCCCTGCATTTCTCCAGACACCCCCAGCCCCACCTGGCTTTGCCAGAAGCCAGAGAAAACTTGCTAAGAATGAAGCTTCCACCCTGCTCACACTCCCCTGGATCCAGGTCTCCTTGAATTGCCTTTGAGGAGGGATTTGTTAGTGCTCAGTGGGTAGAAAATTAAGGGCTAGATGTGGGGAAGGAGGAGAGGATGCGAGGCCAAGGGCGGGATGGTGGATGGATGATGGAGAGGAGGCGGCTCTGGACCACTGCCTTCCCAGCACCATCTCGTGGCCGGCTTGGGAAGCAGGAATGGAGGGAAAAAAGCATCTACCTCCAAGCCAGAGGACAAAAAAAAAGCCTTTCAAAAGGGATTTTTCTTCTCCTTCATGTGTTTACCAGGAGGAGTCAGCAAGAAAATAACCATGAGCCATTCTTCCCACACACACACTCAGCAGCTGATTTTCCTAGGGAGGAATGGTGAAGCCAGGACTGCTGCCATAAGCATTGCTAAAGGAAGAACCCCAGCAAAACACACTTACCTCTTCACTGTTCAGGAAAATCAGATGGACAAGGAAAGGAAGGAAGAGAAAGGGGAAAGAGGAAAAAAAGGCAGTTAGTTAGCATCCTAACTGGAAAAAAGCAGAAGAATCTTAACAAGCATAAAAGTTGGTGGTTGAACAAAAGTTTTTAAATGCCAACACTGTATTAGAGACAAAAAAATGGGAACTTACTCAGACATCTTGGTTTAGATGGTTGTGAGCCTGAAATGAAAACCAAGAGAAAAAGTTAACAACTATTCATGCTTGTGGTCTCTTTTTTTGTGGGTTTTAAACCCTTTTTTTTTTTTTTTTTTTTGGGTATATGAACAAAGCAAGACTCCTCTAGAAAATAAAAAGAGGAACAGGTCTGTTCTTATTTCCCAACTTCACCAATTTTTCATCATATGGGAACTAGGCTGTAGTTTGTAGATGAGAGGTAAACATCTCTTCATAGCAACACAAACCACAGCATCAAGGGACTTCTGGAAAAGACCAAATGGGGTTGAGCCAGAAAAAGATTTGTGACAGTGATTCCTGCAGTGATTCTTGTCTGACCCCCACAAAACCATTTTATTCAATGAGGGAAGAAAAGGCAAAAACTATTTTCAGTTTGCTGCTTTACTTTGCCATTCAACCTTGCTTCACTTCATAAACAAGAAATATCCCAAAGCCAGCAAAGGGCTGGCAATGACCCCAGGTGACAAGCAAGGACTTCAGAGGATGCTGGTGCCAGTGTAGGCACTCATTCTGTGGGACAGGGGAGCCTGTTGCAGCAGCTTCAGCACAGGTGGAAGTTGTGGTTGAGTTGATACAAGCACAAAAAAATTCCCCAGGCAATCCCTCACATTTGCTTTAAGTGGAAATTTTACACATACAACACAGTATTAGGGAAGAGATGGAAGAGCACCTTTGGTTTGCTGTAAATGATTTCCACATAAATAGAATTTTACTTTTCTATCAGAGCAGTATCTACTTGCATCTCCTAAGCCTGATCTTTGCAGAGCAGACAAGGCCCCCAAACGCAGTCTGCAGTCCTGGGAGGCTCTGTCAGGAGGGGAAGTGTTAATGGGGGCTCATGCCCGAGGCAGGAGGCACAGCTTGCAGGGCCAAGGAAACTTTATCCTGGAAAATGTGCGGGCCCATCACATTACTTCAGAGAGGAGCCGGGGGGGGGGAGGGAAAGTGCTTCTAAAAATGGCCAGGGAGCTGCAGAAGGAGCTGCAGCTGTCTCCTGGGACGGCAGCCTTTCCGCGGTGCCAGCCCCGTGACTCGGGGCGGTGACGGCGATGCGGGGCGCAGGTGGCGGGGCTGCAGCGGGGCCGGGGCCGCGGAACGCGGGCTGTGTCCCGGACAGACATCCCTGTCCCGCACACGCTCCCGCTCCGGCCGCAGCCACGCCAGGGGGACAGCGCCGGGCTGCAGCTCGCTGCCCGCCATGTGGGCTTCGAATCACCTGTTCTGCGGGCAGCACACCATAAATTTGGATGTCGGTGCCTGCCCGAGGGTGTTTTTGGGCAGGAAGGCGCTGCAAGGGCCCGGTAGGGAGCCGAGGAAGGGTGTAAGCAGCGAGCATAGCCGAGTCACCGCAGGCAAGGATCCTGAATCCCGTGGCCCTGCGGAGGTCAGCGTTAGGCTCCACTTGCCCTCGCCACTCAAGCTGAGAGCAGAACCAGCCAAGGCAGGGGAAAGCATGAAATCGGAAAGAGAAAAGCTCACTGGAAGAGACAGAGCAAACCTTTCCAATGCACAGACCCTCTCCAATCAGCAGAGGATGGAGAAAGTGTTATTCGTACCCCTGTTTCTCCCAGCAGGCCACCCCCACCTGGTATTATCTCCTTAGTACTCAAGTAAGTAAATCTGCTCCCCTGTCACTCCCTAAGAGCAAGCTGGGTCGTTAGGAGATATGCAGAAAGGCTCACCCAAGTCTGGAGAAAATCAGAGTCGTGCTGGCTGGACGGGATGGACAGACGAGCCGCAGGCAGCTGGCTGAGTAAGGAGGTATAAAAGGGCTTCTCGGGTGGCTCAGCAGAAAATCCACCTTCTCTTTAAGGGCATGGAGACCTTCTCAGACCAATGATGTGCAAGAGTCCGCTGTGCACCTCCCTTGGCTGGGGCAGGCCAGGCCGGCAGGAGAACAGGAGAGGGCAGCCCCCAGGCAAGGAGGGGTGGGGAGGAGGAGAACATCTTCTACCCGTGGGATCTGGAGGAGCTGGGGAGGTGTTTTTCCTCAGAAGTGCCAAGTAGGGAGCCTTCCTCTCCCTTCTCCTGCCACCAACCAGTCAAAATAGATATGGCTTCAAATCTGTGGGGAGCCCAGGCTCCCTGCACACAGCCATCCATCTGCAAGGCCTCTAATTAAACTTTCCCCTTGGATACAAAGAGTGGCTTATCCATGGACAAGGGCATGACTCAATTTGCCTTCAAGGGCTTGGGAGCAACTCTGCCCTTCAGGAAGGAAGAGAGGGAAGAGCTTGCACCCCAAATATCCACTGCCAACAGCATAAGCAAGAGCAATCCCTTAATAAGTCATCTAGCACTAGCATGCTTTTTTAACCTCAATTATTTCCCTCCCACAGTAAATACTTGTAGCTCTTCCCTGTGTGAAATATTTCAACACAGCTCAGGGGTTTTTTTTTGAAAAACAAGCTATGGATCTGCTGCAGGCAGTCTGAAGCCTCAAATCCAGCCAGGGGCATGGGCAGCAGAGCATGGGGGAGCAGCTCCATGTGACAGCAAGAAGGGTAATCCCCTCTGTGGGATGACCCAGACCCATATCTCCATGGATCTGAAGGAGAAGCAGGTGGAAACGTGGCTGGAAATATTCCCCAGCCCTTGTCACAGCAATGTAGAGAGTGTGTGTAGGGGATCCCATGGAGACAGGGACCCAAACAGCTCCTGCTCTCCTCCCCCAGGCCAGGCGCTCCCTCCTCTTCCAGCCGGGGCTCTTTAGGCTGATTCAGACATGGCCCTGACAATATTTTGCAGGCGCCTCCCAGACATTATATAGACAGTGGCAAATCCCTTGCTGCAGGCTTCCTGTTTCACCATGCTCAGCACCACACAAGTGTTGCTGCAGGTGCTGCTGAAGGACGAGCAAGTCCTTGGTATGGGGCTGGTGTCTGGCAGGGGTGTGCCTGGTATAGGTGGAGGAGGGAGAAACCCCTAGCGTGGGCAAGGCTGGATCCACTTGGACCCACATATCCCACTTGGGGTATGTCCCTTTGAAATGCTGCAGCTACACATTCTGGCCCTTCAGTCCTCCAGAGAGCCACTCAGCTCTTGGTGGAGGAATCAAAACTGGGGGAGTTCTCCATTCAAAATTCCCCACAGGCAGGGAGTTTCCTTCAGCTCTGTGAGAGGAAGGCATTCTGGACCTCCTGGAGTCCAGACATGCAGCACAGCAAAAGAAATATGCTCAGAATTTCAAGGGTGTGGTTATCACCTTGTGACAGGAAAGCATTGGCCTGATATAGTGGAAGAATGAAGTTCAAAGAAAGAAGTCCCATGACCAAAATATTGGCCAACAGGAGTGTTTGTAGGATACAGGAGGAGTGGATGGTGAGGATGTGATAATAGGATGAGCAGAAGGTCAGGTCTCCAAGTCTGCAGAAGGCTTTCCATGGAGCTGCCTTGCACAGGGATTAAGCTGTAAGGCAGCTCTCCCAGAAAAAGAAAGAAGCACCAGACTTAAATGGCATGAGGAAGAAACCCAGTGAAGAGAAGGAAGAAAAGAAAAACAAATCCGTGTCAAAGTTAGGAGCCATGGTTAACATTAGGAAAGACAGAGGTTTCCAAAGGAATTATATAAGTGTTTGAGTGATGAAAGAACAAGTTTCTTGCAAAAAAGCTCAATGAAGGCATAAGGAAGCTCCAGGCACATCCTTCAAAGAGATGTTTGGATCTGAATATTAGGTATTAGTGAGGTAATTAGGCAGGGGCCAGGAATGGATGCACTGTTCACACTTGGGTACTTTCCTATGGAGCATCTGACCTTGTTCCTTTCCCTCATTTCCCTCCACCTGAGCTAGAGGAATGCCCCATGGGTGTGGGTCACCACTCCCACAGCACTTCCACCATCCTGTAAGGTCAGACAGAGGGAAGACCTGTCACACACAGGAGCTTCTGCATGATGTTTTAGAGGTGTTTTTTACTCAGGTGTAGCTTTTCTGGGCCAGGCTCCTCCACGGAATCACCACGTGTTGGAAGGATGAGGCTGATGAATCCATGCAAGCTGCTCCTCATGACACTCTCCTACGCCTTTACACCTTGCCTCCTCTTCAGCATCCCACAAGGATCAAATGGAAAGGCACTATGACACCAGACTAGCAAAACACAAACATGCTACTCAGCAGCAATGATGATCACAGTAAAAGTTCAGGCAAGATCACTGGGGAAACCTGTATTTGACTGCCCTTTGCTTTCCCAAAATCACATTGCACCAAAGCAAAGCACATGGCTCCCATCCTGCCCAGGACATACCTGCTCCCTCCAGTGTGTCCCTAAAAGAGCTCCCCATTTCTCTGCTTCTGCTGACACCAACCCCCAGGAACTCTAACATCACTTTCACATCTTTGTGCCAGTGCTGCCCTACATCCCACAGCTACAGTCACCTCATTGGCCCATGAAATGGGATTAAGGTTTTTGGCTGTTCTTGTACAGGGCAGCTGCCAACCACCACAGCCACCCTCTCTGTTTAGCTCCATGCTATCTTCCTTGACAGGGAGTGCTTCAGGCACATGATGTTGGTGCCCTCAGGCTCTAAACCCACCAGCAGGTCCTGATGACACTCCTCATGTTCAGCAGACACATCACAAATTCATAAGCTGACAGCTGCTTCATGCTGTGTTTGACCATCAGCTACACCATGATGCACACAGGACCCTGGGAGAGGCCATCCCACCAGTGGATGAGGACACAATTCCCTTTCTCCGGTGAGACTTTGATATCCCACAAACAGGGCTGCCCCATTCCATGACAGTCCCCATGGAGCAGAGCCCAGATGTCAGCCTTGAGGTGTGAGCAGAACCCTCTCCGTGGCAGAAGTAGGGGATGACACTCAGGCTGCCATCGCTGGGCAGGCAGCTCATGTCAGGGAAGCTGTCACTGCTGAAGCTGTCACTGCTGAAGCTGTCAGTGCTGTCCAGGCACAGCCCTGCCCACTGTTGATGTTCCCCAGGCGGATGCAGTCAGTTACCTGAGTGATGATGGGTCCTGTGAAGGGGCAACACACAGGTTCCTGAAAAGTGGGTTCCTTGGGATGCAGCTTTTTCTTGTTCCTCCTGAGGGATTTCTTGGAGCTGGCATGTGGTGCAGGGGGCTGAAATTGGGCTCACAACATCAGCAAAAAGAGGGACAAGTGACAGGAGAGCTTGGCCTTGAAGGGGAGTCTGCTGAAGAAGGCAGGGGAGGAGCATGGTTGGGACTGGATCTGTGGGCCTGCATTAGGGACCCCATGTTGAGGACTGCCCCTCTGCTCTCAGCCTCTTCCATCTGCCAAACAGTATTAAAAAAAGGACTGGTGAGACCATAAAAGCTCATCTCTGCAGCTGCACAAGCAAGGAGACATGCAAACCAATCTTGCTGAAGCAGTCATTGCCTCCTGCTGGTGGTGCTAAGAAGAGTGATCCGGGTATCTTGCCACATTGCAGGACTATGAACACCACATCCCCACCCTCCTCTTCATTCACTTCACTTTTATACTCACCAACTTTGGACAAGTGCCTGTAGGAACAGAACAACTCCCTATGGACACACAGAAGTACTCGCACATGGCTGCTTTCGATATAAACACTGGCCTTGAAGAGAAACAAGGCATTTTAATGATCCCTTCCACTCCAAAGGGACACTCTTTGGTGTGGGCTTCCAGAAGAGTTTGCAGCTCGCTGCAAGCTGGAGCCTGGAGGAAGGGCGGCATTTCAAAATGAGAACACAGAAGGGTGAAGGTAAAAACCAGGAAAACTCCTCTGGATGAAGTCCCTTCTGACCATGGTAGCATACAGGGGCTTCAGTCTCCAGTGATGGAGAGTCTGTGTTCATAGCCAGGGTTAGGATCACTCAGTTCACAGCACAGCCCTGGGCACAAACCTCACTCCTCTGAGGAGCTTTTCTCACTTCTGCCCAGGACCAGAAGCCTTGGACTCTTCCACAGTGTGGCACTTCCTCCATGACCCCAGGCTGAGTTGGCAGCCCCCTGGAAAGTGAACACCTCTGACAAGCACTGGTCTGTGCCCAGGCCTTCAGCATTTAATGTGTACAGGAGGTGATCCCTCTGGAATTTCCACCCAGCTTGTCCCTGGATAGTATTACTGAAGTGACCCAACACCTGATCACAATCCTTCATGTGTATGCACATCCTCAAAGCCTGGTTAAGACCAGGGTATGACCCAGAACGTGTCTGGAGAACAGGCTGAGACCTCTGTGTGCTCAAATGAGTATGGCTGAAATATGTCTTTGCTCTCAAAAGGTCTTTCAGGCTCTCTGTGCCAAGACAAAGCAACAGCAAGAACATGGTGTTGGTTAAAAAAAAAAAAGGCCAGAGAGCTCAAGAAAAACTGATAAATCACAAAGCTCTTCTCTCCCCAAGGTCAGCAATTGCTGTACAAACGAGTAGCCATGCAAGGAATGATTCTCCAGAATTTATCCATTCCATGCACACTGGCTTTTTGTAAACTGCAGACACTTCATTTTACAAAAAACACCTGTCAGCTGCAAAGACTCTTGGCAGCCTCACCTACCTGCACACATTGAGAAAGCCTTGGGAGAAGACAGCTGCAAGGAGATTGGCCTCTGGAAGCTCTTCTGGAGGTGCTTCTCATCCAAGTTTGGCAATGGAGGGGATGAGCTCAGAGTAGGAGAGGGCTGCGCCAGGAAATCTCAGCACCCAACCCCACTGAGCATCTCTCAAGAATATCCCCAAAGGAAATTAATTCAGAGTATCTGGAACATGAATGTTCTTTTATGAAGGCAGACCTGAGCAAAAAGTTGGGAGTGGTGTGGGATGAGTGCATCCAAAGCAGAGAAACCTTCAGGAGTGGCCTTTGCAGGTGTG